CCAGATTTAACTTTTTTAGAGTTAATTGTTTGAGAAATTAATGTTAAAAAAAAAAAAGATTTTCTCCCATACATTTTTAAGAATTTGATGTAGATTTTTATGCGTTTTCCAGCAATGACTAGATTTAATAACAGTCTTGGTCACTTGCACAGAACTTTTCAACTTTTTGTAATTTCACCGACACATTTTAATTTTAAACCACATTTTTTGGAGCTTTGAGGTGAACACTTCAATGTTATTTCTTTTAATTTAAAAAAAGCCACATTTAGAAAAGTTTATAAAGCTGGTACACAATTTATGAAAGCTACTGGTAATTGGACAAATACATGTATGCTTGATGTCTATTTATGTTAGACTTAATTTTTTTTAAAGAACAACCAGAACTCTGGTCAGAAGGAGGAATCATTGCTCATCATATGATAATGACGGAGAGATGTTTCTCACCCTCCCCTATTGGCCGTCAGGGGTGTAGCACATTAAGGAATTTCCTTATTTTCTTTCCGTCTCCAGTCTATTGTCAGCAGCTCCATTTTTTTAATTTGAGTCAGGATGTTGAGTCCAAAACTGTAATGGTTATTTACACCAGACACATTGAGAGTAATGTTGCTGGTATTTTCCAGGATTTTGTGTTTGTCCTGCTGTTCTCATGCTTGATCCTGAATCTTTCTTTACAGCGTTGCTTCATTTTAATCTCTCTGCTCGTGTCGTATTTAAGCTAAAATAGCCTTCAGCTGCTATAGTTTCGAATTGTAGGTTTCAACAAGAGGTAAAACAGGACCAATAACTTATGTGGGAGGGCAGGGGGGAGTACTGAGAGTGAATCTTTTTCACATCCTGTATAATCTGGTGTAGGTCTTGTCACTTGTTACAGGTGTCAAAAAGATCTCTCACCTTAGCTGTAGCACCTGCAGCTCAGAGTGACAGCCCTCAGATTGAGAACGTATCATTGCACAGACAGCTTTCTCCCTTCAGACGTCTTTCAATCTCTCATTTGTATTTTTGTTTGTCGTCCTGACCCCCTTGTGTGTATTTTACTTGTGACTGAGCATTACCCCACCTCTCATCTTAAGCGAGCTCAGGAGCTTCTCAGCACAATCACAACTCCAGGAAGCATTTACAGCTGATTTGTTTGAGTAGACCTGTGTCTCATCACAGCTGTGTGATGGCATTCGAGCGCTGTCAAGTACACAGGTTAGTTTGATGGGTATTTACTGCTGGGAAGAATTCACTCACTCAAACATAGTTTTAGTACACATCTGCGCACTATTAATTGTTTTGAGTCAAATATTTATTTGAAGTCAAAAATCAGATGAAAATGCAAAAGTTCTGAACTTCTTGACAAATCTGATTTGACTACATACATTTTTGTCAAGGCTGCACGATATTGTATTTTTGGCCAATATCTGATATGCCGATATGTTAAAACTTATTTGGCCAATAACCAATACTTTTAATATACTTTCCTTTGTCGGAACATATTCCTCTTATTTAGGCTTACTTGCTACAAAAAATGTGTAACAGCTGAAAGAGCTGGTGACATATTCAGTAACAGCCATATGTATAGCACTTTAACTTGTATTAAATGCAAAGTGTTGAACATTATTTTTTAACATTAGTCACCTGCGATGATGTCTCACTTGTGGAGGCTTGTTCCAGGTTCCTAGCTGCAGTGTGGGATCCTCTGCACTCTTGTGCATAAAGGACAGACTTTTAAAGTTCAAAGTTTTTGTCTATCCATTGTGCCAAAAGACTAATCATGCTAATGGGGCTAACACGACGTCCAAATGTCTGTGGTAAAACTCACCCAGTACTATCAGCTATTAGCTTCTCATTGACGTTGGAAATGGCGGCTCGTAACTCGGGTAAGGCTATGTTGGAAAAAATATCTCGTACTGGGGACGATGTAGCGAGACTCAACGTAGTCCAAAAATCTTTTGAATCCGACGTCCTCAACGGGAAAAAAACTTCCACACCGCCAACATTTTGAATTTTCCTCTCCACCATGATCAGATCAGATAAGCGTGTGACGTCATCACGTTGTGCTGCCGCTGCCGGCATCCTTGTCACTGGGTTGTCGTACAAAAACAGCGTCCTTTATATCTGTGAGTTGTTTTGATTGAATGGCCGATGTCCGATATTGAACTGTAACGCTAATATTGACCGATACCATGCCGATAATATCGTGCATCCCTAATTTTTGTGATTTCTCCTGTCGATATCTTTTTGTGTGTGAGAGAGAGAATGGGCGTTTTGTTTTCTGTACAAGGCAGAGAGAAGTTATAAGATTAATAACTAGAATAAATACTGTCTGGTTAAAAACATAGAGACAGGATACAGTGCCTATTTGTTATGGCCATCTTGTTAGCTTTCAACCCCTGCTGTCTTGCCTTTTTTTTTTTTACACATTTTCCCTCTGTCTCTTGCCTTCACTCCTTTCCCCTCTCCCTGCTCTCACTCTGTACCCTGTGACTGTTTGCTCTCTCCGGTAACATTGACATGAAACCTTCCACATTCTGCAGCAGAGCTGGGCTTTCTGTGCAGAGCACTCCTAATGTGACTCTTCATCTGCTGACTGTGGCCTTAACGAGTTTTAGGACATGATGAAAGACGATGAAAAGTCAGTACCTTCTTTGCCTGTAGCTTAAGATTCACAGCTTGTCTCAGAGCCTATAGCTCATTAGTTTCTCTTCAAAATGGCCGTCTCGCTAATGTTGTAATTGAGAACACATGGAGGAACTTCATTATTTGGCTGCACCAGAAGAACCCGTGGCTATTATGTGCCCTGTGATGTTCCTGCAGACCATGGAAAACCTGTTAAAAGTACCTCGTCGTGATTTACTCCCGTCTTTGATAAAGTCAAATCAGAACCTGCCCTTGTGCTAGGAACTCTGCTGCGATTAATTAAGTAGGCTAATTACCATACCAGGCGTGTGGCAGAGATTGAGAGCTTGAATGTGAAATATCCACCCCCATTTCGCTCTGAATATTAACGCCGAAACCCTGAGGGACTGCCAAAATCTCAGTGGTGCTAAGAAAAGTGGAAGTAAAGTGTGAGTCGAGTTGCTTGGTGGTCAGAGGAGTGACTTCGTATCAAAGCCCAGATATCGTCTTTAGTGATCTAACACAGTCCGCAGCAGCGTAGTTCCCAGTCTATCAGGAATCAAATCCCACAAAGAGCGCACAGAGGTAATAATGTGTTTAACCTCCATAGAGGGAGCAGCAGGGTCTAGGAATGGCTGTAAATGACTTGCTTTGTCCTCCACCTTCACAATTTTTTTTTACAGGCAATCAGAAAGTTTCTGCTGTCAGTTTGAAGCTTAGATCCCAGGTTTGATCTCTAGTTTGAACAGCTGGTTGTTCAACAACAGTTTGTTTCTGTAGATTTACAGGGAGCTTAGTCTGCAGAACAGTTGCGGAGACGAGCATTAGAACTGGTAAATCGTTTCCAAAATCTTTTTCTCTTTGTGTTAATCTTAATTGTTCATTAAATTATCGCTGCTTCACCCTTCGCGATTTTATGATCTGCAGGAAGACTTTAGATAACTTGTCTGCATATCAGAACTTGTGCAAATGCAATCGCATTCAGTGTTGTGTAGCATTTTTTTATGATCCCGTTTCCAAATGCATTAATATCAGTTTCTCAGCTCTACTACTAGATGTGCAAATGATCATTAAACACATGTCATTAACCAGAACTTTCTGGAAGTCGTGATTTACAGGTTTGACCACTTTCTGCATTTTGTTATCTTTTAATACAACCTAATTTCTCTTCCTGATAACTTAATTTAAATATTTTACACAAAACATTAGTTAAAATGAATTATTGTAAAGTATTGTTATTGTCTGAACTAGAATTGATTCCTGAAGGAAAATGTGCAAACTCCACAATGAATTATCAAATAAACTTTAGTCTTTTGCAGCTGCACCATTGAAAGGATTAACTGATTTCTCTGAAAACTGAATTTTATGCATTTGCCTTGTCATTTGGGGCGGCTGTGGCTGAGTGGTTAGAGCAGTCGTCCTCCAATGTGAGAGTTGGGGGGGGGGGGGTTCGATTCCACCATCAGTCACATGCTGAAGTGTCCCTGGGCAAGACACTGAACCCCTCATTGCCTCCGATGCGTGTCCCATCAGTGTATGAATGTGATAAAGCACTGATTAGTTTTTGTATAGATCTAGTAGAGTGCTGTGTGAAAGGGTAAATGAGGGCACAGATTGTGTTGTAAAGCGCTTTGAGTAATCTTGATAAGACAGAAAGGTGTTATATAAGTATTTATTTATAGTTTTATTTATAGTTGATGTAAAACCTACAGTGAAGTTTGTCACAGTCGTTACATTTTAGTCTACAAGTGTTACACAGTTCTGATCATCTCTTTTTTTCTATTTATTTACTTTTTTGCCACCTTTAATATAGGATGGTAGTAAAGTGCCTTTGAACATGTTTCAGCTGTGATAAGTGACCCCCTCCAGCTTCAAATTTGGTGTGAAACCAGTGATAATTAATGTTCTGGCTCAATTGTTTGTATCTAAAATCACCCTTTTTGTTTGTAACTGAATAGTAAATGCACATATCTAACTAATAAGCAAGTAATGGATGTCAGTCCCCTCCATTTAAAATTCAACAGCTGCAAAATGACTGATTTTGTGTTGGTCATCATCTTGATGTTTTCATTGTCTTTTTACTCTGTGATGGGAAATGATGCAACTAAAAACCTTTGGTGTTCCTAAGGCACTTTATTTTCATTTTGGAAATGTTTCATGTTAAATGAGTTGTGTCCACCTTCCCTGAAAACACTGATGAATTAAAATAAACATTTGAGTCTCTTAGAAGCATCTATCTGGATTTCCTGCCTAAATTATGACATTAAATAATGACATTAAAAGCTACAAAATTAAAGTTACAGTTTACCTGTAAAATTATTATTTTTTGTACACCGCAAGACTACATTTCAGTATGTTGTCGTGTCAGTGATCATTGCTGCTAATGTTCCCTCCTGAAGGTTGGGTGACCAGTTTTATAAGGACGCCATTGAGCAGTGCCGCAGCTACAATGCCCGCCTGTGCGCTGAACGCAGTGTCCGCCTGCCATTCCTGGACTCTCAAACTGGAGTGGCCCAGAACAATTGCTACATCTGGATGGAACGTCACCAACGCAACCCCGGTAGGAAAACACAAAGACTCACACAAATATACACACCATTACAAAATGCACAGAATAAAAATGGACTACCCTCTTCCTTCTCGTGAGGCATTCAAGTCATTCTAAGCGTATTTAAATTGACTACCTTTGGAGTACAATAATTAAGATGTAAGCTTTGTTTATTGAGCTAAATTCATTAAGTAAATTTGATCGACCTGCACTTTACCTTTTTTTTTAACTGAAGATCGGCAACACCATTGTTTCCAACTCGTTGCCAGGAAGCTGTTATTTATATCTAAATTTAAGATCTACTTTTCTCAGCTCTGGTCCGGAACAGACTTTGGCCAGGTGGATCAGATCTAAAAAGGCCAAGAATTTAAAATTATGGAGTTGCACCTGACTGAGGTTTTTTTTTTTTTTTCCAAGTGTAGAAAAATGTTCAAACCTTCATATTTCAAAAGTTGAACAGTATAATTATTAGTTTTTTTTTTTTTTCCACTGTATTGATTGAACCATTTATTAGTTGTGGTCTTAAGTGTATACTTTTACCATGACTTGATTGTTAGTTTCATGGTGTTATGGTGTTTCAAATGTTAAAATGTATTGCTTTTTTTTTTTGTCTTGAAACAATCTTGTTTCCTCATCACCATGGTCTGAACAGGTGTTGCTGCCGGGCAGATGTACACATACCCCGCCCGCTGCTGGAGAAAGAAAAGACGGCTGCACAACACCACAGATCCACGCCTGGGCATCTATGGCCTTCAGCTTGGTAAGAGCCCACATCCTGCCTACGTCTGCTCCTTTTTTGTTGCTCCTCCTTTATCACTCCATCTCCACCACTCTTGACCCCCCTTTACCTCGCACAGTTACCAGTGGTGATCTGGAATGATCTCGCTCCTTCTCAGCACACAGACCAGAGCAGGCTGCCAGATATTTTTCAGAAGATGAAATGTGTCTGTGTCCTCCCAGCTTGTAAACATGTTTTGTGGGAAGTAGACCAGGTAATTAGATTTACCACTGCTGGGAGCAGAGAGACAGAGGTCAGCCACAACAGATAGTATTTAATAAATGTTATGGAATGGAGTTTGGCCTTCTCTGGCTGCCACTACAAACAGCTCACTCAACACATTTACTCTGTGCTCTATATTATCACTTACATTCTGCTTACCGACTCCCTTGTTGATGGGTTTTCTCTTTTTCCCTGCGATGATGCTTTCATCGCTGCATCAGTCTATGCGATCAGTGTTTTCAGACTCAAATAACTGTGCCCTAAGCTATCAGACACACTGGGGTGTTACACTATCCTAAGGAATGAATACTACAAAACCAAGAATTTTTCACAGAAACGGAGCGATGCATCCTAAGTTTATGGAAGTGTTTCTCCTGCAGTTTTTGTCAAAAGCTGCCAAAAAAGTATTAAATCCCAAAAGCAGGAAATTTGTGAAATTATAGACTTTGTGCATATTTTTGGAATGTTGCAATGGTAAGAAATGTGAACTAGGAAGAGAGTAGCAAGATCGAGCAGTAGCTCATGAGCCAAGCCTTTGTTTCCCAAACACATCCCATTGTAGCCTATTGTTTTCCTCTGGCTTTGACTCCCCCACCACCACCACCACGCTGTCCCTTCCCCTCTGCAACAACGATGGCCTGTATGTGCTGCCTGCGAGTGCCCGGCGGAGGTGAAACATACTTTGATCTAACCTGGCGTCTCTTCTGCGGAGCACGTAGTGCGGCTGACCAGAGGTGGCCTGCACAAGGCAGCAGTCTGTGTCGCCGTCTGATGGTGTGCTGTTGAGACTGGGGCTGCATGCAGAATCAGCTCCCTGCTGCAGGCTGCTGCCGGCTCTATTTTTAGCCCCCAGCTCCCTTGGGGTTCGGATGGAGGGAGGGATGGAGTGTGTGTGTGTGTGTGTGTGTGTGTTGTTGGGAGGGGTGGGGGGGTTGTCTCGTTGCTGAGAGTTGAAAGTCAACATGTGCAGACACAATGGTGAGGGACTGCCGCCACGTGGTTTGAGGAGCAGGTTGGTGATATCTGCTTTCCTCACGCCTACCTTTTGTTTGACTCTCCACCTTTGCAGTCTTCTGTTGTTTCAGCTCATCATGCTAAATATTCAAAAAGTCTCTCCCATGCTCGTAATTGAAAGATGAGGAGCTCAGGAAAAGCTGGAGGTGGAGGACTTTGAAGTGACTACTCTTCTGAAAGATCCACAGAGCAACAGGGTGATCATGAAACTCTCTTTGGGGAAGAGGTTGTGTGAAGAGAATGTGCAGATCTTGCCGACTGTTGCAGCTTTTGTTTGCTCTACTTTGCCTGCTCAACCAGCCCACCTCCCACACTGTTTGTTCAGTGATTTTTCACTGTAGGAGGAAATATCTGAGAGAGTTCAGGTTGAAGTGATAAGCTCCTTCAAGAACACCGTGCCAAAAAGATTCTGTAGACAAAGTTGTGCATCATCAAAATCTCCGAGATCGTCTTATTTTGAAAAATTAAAAATGTGTTTTTTTTTTATCTGTGTAATGGTTTTGTAGAGTGGTGATGAAGTGGAGACAAAAATATTATTCTCCAGCAAGTTACCGCATAGAAAACAAACAAACAAACAAAACAAAAAAAAAAAAAAATATATATATATATACTGCTCAGGCAATTTGAAGCAACTACACTTTATGTCAAATACAATGCATGACTAGGCCTGTCACGATAACAAATTCTGCTGGGTGATTGTCTCAGAAATTATTGCAATAAATGATAATATTGTTTGAAATTTGACAATAATTAGTAATTATTGTCAAATTTAAGAAGAAATGTTGGTTAATTTGTTTTGGGTGTAGTACTTTTTTGACCACTGGATGGCAGTATAAGACTGTTTGAACTAAAAAATGGATAGTGAGGGAGCGAGCAGCATGTCTAAGAAAAATGGGAGGGAGGCCCCTTGACGTGACACAGGCTGTCTCTTGTTCCTGTTTTTCGGTTCTCAAAATGGCAGACGCTCTGTGTAGTTTGAGTTCTTTAGCAAAACATTTGTCATACAAAGCTTTGAATAAAAAAATCAGTAAAAAAGTTCTCAGCTTCTTTTTGCAGAGGAAAACAACTTTGTACACAAAGACACGGGTTTCAACCGTGAATTTTGGAGCTTCAATAAGACTGAGTCCCCCCGAGGTCGGCCTGTTAGCTTAGCTCATAGCTTAGCTGCTATTAACGATACAGAAACGTGATTTTGGACGATTAAAATGGATTTTGAAGAGAGAAGAGAGGGGGGGGGGGGGGGTCATTGAAGGGCCCCGGAGTTGAGCCTTTTGTCATCCAGTGTCTTCAGTAGAAGGAGAGAGACACGAAGAAACGATAAAACAGATAAAAGAAAATGAGGTTGATCATTTTTATTTATCATGTGAATATTTGATTTATTGTTTATTGTGACAGACCTATGCATGATGATTTCTAACGTGTCATATTGTTGTTGTTTTTTCCCTTCTACAGAAGGCAGCCTCATGTCCAGAGATGGTTTGCCCACCCAGAGCACTACGCTGGAGGCTCTGCTGCGAGGAGGTCTGGACAAGAGGAACAACTCTAAGAATGATGAGGAGAGTCTGCTGGAGATCCAGGTGGGCTCAGTCAAAGACTGTGGGTGAAGACTGGTGCTCACAGAGCATCGGGAGAATGTTGAAAATGCAAACCCTCTGCTACATCACTAGCAGCTAGAGCACCCTGGTACTTAAAGTGATGACTGCTGCCTTAACCGGTTGCCAAGGCAACTTGCCAAGTTTTTCCAACTAACTTGCACAGCTTGTTAACGGAGCACATTTTTTGGATAAATGGACTTTGTCACCACTGGTCTATATATTTACCTCAATAAGAAGTAATTGCCACAAAATATGTTCAGAAATAGTAAAAAAAAAAATTGTTTCACTTCAAGCATTTTTTTTTTTTTCCTGTGAAAAAGCTTTGGTTGAAAGTCAAGTGATTTTATCTCCATATCACACATTCCACCAAGCACATGTGGAAACAGGTATTTTATTTTTACAGGAAAAAATAATTGGTTTGCTTTTTGTCATCAACCAAAACTGTCTGCAAGATAGAAGAAAAATATTTTATCTCTTTAGTTGTGTTGCTTTAGATTTCTATCAACGTGTTCTTTGCTCAGAGCTCAGTACCAGTAACTGCCCTCTTGTCTTTCTGCTTCAGAGGGTTCTGGAGGCAGATGCAGCAGAAGATGCTTATAATGATGACGATGATTTTGAGGTAGACACTCCTAAGAGGAGACATCGGGGCAAGGGAAGAGTAAGTAACTAAAGGGACCGATTGAGTTGTGTAATGAAAGTGTAGTTTTGCACAGAAATCCTTTTAACTCTTTTTATGTTGAGACTTGAATGAAATTAGCTTTTTCCCTCCAGGTAGTTAAAATCAGCCCTTCTCTTCTCCTCCCTTCAGGGTCGCGGTTCAGGCCGCAGGAGGACAGATCTGGATAATGATAAGCCATACTTCTGCGACAGTAAGCAAAAACAAATTCACATATATATATATATATACCACAATA